CACGTGATCCATGCCGCCTACTAGATAAACAGATTATGAATGTTGGAAAATCGACGATTAGCGGAGCCACGTTTGGAAATCGCCAATTAGCTCAATCATGATTTTGGTGTTGCGGGAAGAGGTGAAACTCGATGAGGTGATTTACCGGGTAGCAACTAAGAGTACTCTCGAGAGAACTCTGACGTACTGAGAAGTTGGGCTTTCTTCGCGCGCGCGGTCTCTGCGGTGAGGTTCATGATGTCGGATGGAGGTTATAGAAGAATGATATGTTTTGCGTCAGTGAGATCTACCTGGCCTTCTCTCGTATAACTATAATGAGTTGGTTTCTTCAATATAGGAAATGCAGGGTAGGTTCCTGGTGCAAGTTGGCAATCTGGCAGTTGAGATATGACGTTCGCATAGGATTATCGAGCCATAAGATTCCCAGTGGCTGATGTTGACTACTAAACAAGCACAATATCAGGGAAGAGCGCCAAACTTGATTTGTCAGGCATGCCGCCGTATGAGTATATAGAAAGTTCGCGTCTAGCGCGCCCCGAGGTTACAGTGTTAACCTTCGTGCAAAAGCTTTAAGGAGAGAGGGGCTTCGCTGGAAGTATGTAACCCGACCTCAAAGAAATATACTGGATGGCAACCATTTCGGGATATTGATGAAACTAGGGAATCCCTCAGTGGCTACCAATCCTCGAATGCCAGGAACGACGTAATGCATTTCAGTGTCAGTGGACCCATATTTCGGCAGATAGGAAATAAAAGTGGTGAATAGAATAACGAAAAAACAACTATATCCTCGATGGTGCCGCAGCACAGTTAAGCGTCATGGATCTCATCTAGCTCCCTACTCGCCTAACAGCAGAATCGAGTGGGCTCGAACTTATATCCTCCTCTGCCCGGGTGATCACCAGGGTATCGGAAGTTGTTCCTTGGGTGACATCGAAAGAGGCCTCTCTCTGATTGTAACGCATTATGTATACCTCAACCATCTTTTGTAACGATGCAACAACTCTGATGGATACAAACCCAGATCAAAGGGGTAACTTAAGGCTATCTCCACGGAGAAAGATGCCTCAATCCTGAGTTGCCCCAATTTGCTGTCCGTCATGAATCTTCCCGCAAAATGGCTTAATTTTAATGTCTGTAATTTGAACAATTTTGTGTTCCATGTTTGGATGGCCTATTATAGTGCCGGGGAAGTTCCCCCACCTTTCGTGAGGTGTGGACCAGTGTTCAAACATATGTGAAGAGAACATTGCCTATATCATGCCTATCCATGTCAACACATTTTCGACGCGACAACAAACGGAGGTCGTTTTATTACAAGGTGCGCTATAGACACACTCCTTCGAACAACACAACCTCATTGCGCAAAAGGTGGACTTAAAGATAGACGTAGTAGCCTTAGACCATGGGCTTGCACTCGAACTCCGGTCTTCCTCGACCAACGGTCTAGCGCGAGCCACCCCAAAGAGGGTCCGCAGCGTAACCTCCGGGCATCTTTATGGCCGGGCCATAAGATACACGGTTTGGCCTGGCTTGTCTGCTTCGGAATATCCCACATATAAGATAGATCTTGTTATTCCTCGCATAGGGATGCAGAGAGTCATGTTTCACCTCTCTAAAAAAGTGAGTGCGCCGCGTAACAGTACTGCGTTATCGAGCCTGTGCCGCTCTGGATAACGGTAGTGCGAAAGAGCGTACTACTGACAACAGGAGATAACCATGTGGCCTTTACCAGGTTTGGTTGAGTTCCACAGTGTGTGCAATAGAGCATAGGACACAGTTAGCATTCCCTGTAACAGGATAAATACACTAGCCAACACCACAGTATCGGCCTTGGCATATCGTTTCTGCTGGTGGTCTTACTGATAGCAAGAAGACAGTTGCCTCTGACGAGCTTGCGGTGCACCAAATCAAGAAAATAATGCCGGATTCAGAGGAGATATGCTTTGGTGACCAGTACCTGAGATGGGGTACTGCGATCGCGCAAGAATACTCAATGTCCACACGGTGCAGTTATCCCTTTGATAGGAGTCACCTACCGTTGTCCATACAAGTCGGGCAGAAGTACACACTTAGGTACTTGGCTTCATTTGGAGACTCATGAGACTGCGCCATGGGAAACAGTGCACTCCCAGTGGCAACTACTCCGCTCGCGGTCATGCCATTCGCATACATTAACGAAATAATTCAGGCTAAATAAGACCAGATAAGTGGTCCACGGCTTTGAAATGTATTAGAACTTGAGTTGAAAGTTTTCGACCAAGGACAATACCGGTAGAAAGAGTCGTGTTTTCTGTTGTGAGTTGATTGTTTTCGAGTACAATCGTGATGTCCCACTTCCACTCTGGTTCTTTTTGTTGGAGTCACACCCAACTTCCACGCTCCAGTATTTAAAAAAGAAACGTCCCTTACTGACATCGTTTGTCATCGGGTGGCAGTAGTCGAGCTCAAAGTCTCTTTGAAGCCACAAAATCGAATCGAAAAGCCCAGATAGCACCCTTTTTGATCCACAGAGAGACAAAAACCAATCGACCATGGACCAAAACAATACGCCAATGATTCATTACCTCCTGATTTTTCTGGGAGTCGAGCCCCGCACTGTCAGACTGATGCGTGATGTTTTTGGTGTTGTGGACATCAATCACCTTGGCCTTTTCCTATGCGAGTTTTTTAATGAATCACCTCATGGTATCAATGCATCCAACTATGAGGTGTCAGTCGACGCCATCTTTGAAGGTGACTACTGGCTGGTAAAGAAACTTGTCTATTTCTTTTTGCACTTCACTGCGTTCGCAGCAACGTTGGAGGCGCTCAATTGCAGTCGCGGCGAAAGAGCTCTCTCTTTCTACCTTGGTTACTTGCATGGCTCCCGAGTCAATGGCGACACTAATGCTTTTCAGCTATACATGGAGTCCTTCACTGACCAAAACCCACTCCCTGATGATTACCAGAATCACGAGGTGAACCCTTTCCTTGTTCCCTTACTTCCCGTGGGAGATGCTCATTATCACGCGGATGCACTCGAGACTACTTTCGCAATCAAGCATGTAATCAGCACAACTGTTTATATCTTGGGTGACGTGCAAGTCTTTCGGGCTGGGCGATTGAATGTGTACAACGCGTTGGATTTGGACGACGTTCTTCATGAAGTTTACCTTGCAGCTCAAGAACGTAGCTAAAATCGTATGTCTCCCGGATCTCCGAGTCCCTGAAACTGACTTGACCATCTGTTGGGTAGGTAGATAAAACGCCATTATAGTTCAGTTTCAGTGTCTTTCTGTAAGAAGTGTAGATTTGTGGCTGTCTTCATAAGTTCTGGAGTTCTACTTGTTGGATTGGAATCAATGTAAGGAAACACCTTTGATTGTTTTGGAGTCCACCGTGATGCCTCTTCTGTAAGAAGTGTAGATGTTTGTTCTGGAGTTCTACTTGTTGGATTGGAATCAATGTAAGGAAACACCTTTGATTGTTTTGGGTCCACCGTGATGCCTCTTCTGTAAGAAGTGTAGTCTTTGTTCTGGAGTTCTACTTGTTGGATTGGAATCAATGTAAGGAAACACCTTTGATTGTTTTGGAGTCCACCGTGATGCCTCTTCTGTAAGAAGTGTAGATTTGTTCTGGAGTTCTACTTGTTGGATTGGAATCAATGTAAGGAAACACCTTTGATTGTTTTGGAGTCCACCGTGATGCCTCTTCTGTAGAAGTGTAGATTTGTTCTGGAGTTCTACTTGTTGGATTGGAATCAATGTAAGAAACACCTTTGATTGTTTTGGAGTCCACCGTGATGCCTCTTCTGTAAGAAGTGTAGATTTGTGGCTGTCTTCATAAGTTCTGGAGTCAACTTGTTGGATTGGAATCAATGTAAGGAAACACCTTTGATTGTTTTGGAGTCCACCGTGATGCCCAGTGTGTTGAAGAACGAGAAACTTCCTTGGAAATCGTTTTTTCCAACTGGATTGTTCACCCCACCGGCACCCTACCCACGTTTTGGGCGGATTTCACCTGCTCCAAAGTTCTTTGGGGTCAGGGGGGACCCCCCCCCCCCCCACGGGGTTTTTTTCCCCCCATTTTGCGGTTGTGTGGCGGATGTCACTCTGGCTCACAAAGTTGCATATTAGTACAGGGGGGATCCTTGTTCACTGATAGCTGGAAAATGAACAACCCACCGCCAGAAGAAGATGCCAATCAAAGGGATGGTCACTTGATGAATGATGAAGACCATGTGCAGGAACGGGAAGAGGAGATCGATCGGCGAGGACCCTATATTGTGTGTCGTGAGATTCCATTGGGTTGGAATATTGACGTGGACCAAGAAGACCTGCTGGATGAAGATAATCTGAAGATCCATAATCTGTGTGGTGTGATGCATCCTCGATTGATCCAGTTCTGTTCTCTCTACCGAAAGGTTGAATTTGATGTGGAAGACTTTAAGGATTGCGACTTTTATGACATCATGGCCAAAGAGGAGTGCAAATCCATGGTGTTGAAACCTCTGGTTGACTGGATATCTGAAACATCTATCCATATGAAGCACAATATTCAAGGATACTATGGGATCAAGTACTTGAAGCTACCCAATGAAGACATCCCAGGTGAGAGGGGTGGTATTGAAGACGGTTGGAACGTTAAACTCTCCAATGATGTGATTGCGAAGATAAAAACCATTGGAACATACATCCGTTCGATGAAGGATGTTACCGACAAGATAGAGGGTGCCTTGGAATTATGTGAAATCAGACGTGGTGGTGCTTCTTTCGTTAAAACTGGATGTCTTTTGGGTTACATGGATGCTCAAGTCCACGTAGACCACCTGCCCCAGGAGTTTTGCCAGGATACTTCTGCGTTTTAGCTAATCCAGTATATTCCATGACACAAGCACTGGAAATCCACACTTGACCATTTGGTAGGTAGATAAAACGCCTCTATAGCTCAGTTTCAGTGTCTTCTGTAAGTGTAGATTCGTGGCCGTCTTTGTAGGTTCTGGAGTTCAACTTGTTGGATTGGAATCAATGTAAGGAAACACAAGCTTGTCTCGTCATCTACTTCTTGGCCCCACCTAGAGAAAGTGCCCAATAACTTCTTGAAAGGATCAGGGTAGATCCACAAGAGATGAGGATGGCCACAGGGCCTCCTCTGCTTACAGAGTTTCCAGCTCCTGGAGCTGGTACCGATGTTATTCTATCACGATGCTGGGCAGCCTAGCGAATGCTATCAGCTTACCTCTCAATGCCACTGCTCTGGAGATGGTATTCAATTCATACATTCAATTCTTAGGACTATGAGCAAAAAGCATGCATCCAAATAATTGGGTGTTATGCAGGATTTGAGCACTCTGAGCCACACTGAGGCTCCTGGATCCTCCTGAGGTCACCTGATTGAGTAGATGCTCGCCTCATGGCCATCTGGGGTGATACAGTGGTCAAAACCTTCATATGGGACCATATGGGGCTTCCCTGGTTCCATATGTATGGCCTGTGTCTCACCAGTACCAACCAAGATTCTCTATATCTTTGCTTGTTCCACATACCATGTGGGTACCAGTAACATAAGGCAGACAGTTTGTTCTCACACTCACCACGTTGATCCCATGGATCCAACCCACATTTTATCGCTCCCCTCCATCGGATTCATCCGGGGTGAGGGTGTCCAGGGTATTCCCTTTCCAGAACATCACTGCTCGGAGCATTGGCCAAATCTGAGAATAACTCCAGTGCTTCGTGAGAATGTCAGCCGGGTTGATTTCTCCTGGCATGTGATGGAAGGAGATGGTTCCTGCTGCAATGCTTTCCCTAACAAAATGGTAGGCCAGTGCGTGATGCCTTTTCTTGAGCGGGGAGTGGGGCTGTGTCGAGCTTGTGCAAACGGACCCATTGTCTCCGAACATGTATGTGGGGCCTTGCACTGGAACACCAAGGTATCTCAATGTGATACGGGCAGCGACAGCTTGTTGGGAAGCTATCTTGGCCGCAACAAACTCGGAACCATAAGTCGCCACTTCGACGGTGGCCTGCTTCTTACAGTACCATTCAAAGGGAGTCTGATTCACGTAGTGTAGGACTCCAGTGACGGCTCTCCCCGTCACCCAATCGTGGTATAAGTTGGCATCCACGTAGGTGGTGAAGACCACGGGCTTGCCCTTGGGAGCAGGTGCGTCACCAGGGAGTTCCTCTTCAGCTCCTTGGTACACTGTCTTTGTCC